TTATCACATGAGCCCTAACTAATAATTACTAGTATTAACCTCATTTTTCAGGTGAGCAAACTATAGATAAAAGAAATCGAAGTGGCCGGGGAGATGGCTCAAATAAGCGCTTGCCTGGCAAGTGCAAGGGCCTGAGTTCAATCCCTGGTTCCTCAAAAAAAAAAAAAAAAAAGAAAGAAAGAAAGAAAGAAAAGAAAAAAAGAAATTGAATAAAATATTTAAATTAGAAATCTTTTTTAAAAAAAAATTATTATTTTTTATGTGTGTGTGTGTGTGTGTGTGTGTGGCCAGCTCAGCCCACCAGGGGGCGGGGCTGCCTGGCATGTGTGCTGGGGGATTGAACCGTGGTCCCTGTGCTTTGCTAAGCTTGTTCTAAGTAGGTGCTTTAGACCACTGAGCCATCTCAGCAGCACCCCCCCCTTTTTAAAACTTTTTAATGCTAACTTTATTTATTTATTTATTTAATTTGGCGGAACTGGGCATTGAACTCAGGCATTTGCGCTTGCCAGGGAAGCGCTAGAAATCTTAAAAAAAAAAAAAAAAAAAAAAAAAAAACCTGCAGAACCAATACCTGAACCTACAACTGCCTCACTCCCAGGAGTACCCATTTCACTTGCTGCCCTACTCTCTTTCCCTAATCCTGCTTCTGGGCTGCTTCCTAGTGAGTCAGAGATTCTCACCATCATGCCTCAGGACAGATGAAGGGCAGAACCTTAGAAAAGCTGATGATGCCACTGTCTGCAGCAGAAAGGAGACTGCCGTCTTCTCATCCATTTGCTCAGATAGTGTTGAGCTAAAGAGCAAAAGCCCAAGTAAAAGAGCAGATGCAAATTGAGCTGAGCTATCACCAGCTGTGTGACTCGGGGCCATTACTTACCACTTAACCCCAAATCCTTTAAAATAGTGGTGATGATATAAATACAGTGTCCAGTTTTAGGCTTTTGTGAGGATCAAGCAAGGTAACACATGTAAAGTTCTGAGTACACGATGGTTGTCAGTCCTCAGAGCTTTTCTTCCTCAGAGGTTCAAATTTCATCCAAATGTTTGACATCCTATTTTTTCTTTTTCTTTTTTTTTCCTTTTTTTTTTTTTGCAGAACCAGGGATTGAACTCAGGCCCTTGTGCTTGTTGACGTGCTAGCTCGATGAATTATGTAGACCAGTGCTTCTGAACTGGGCTGGTCTCAGAATTACCTGCCTAAGAATTTTTTATTTAAGAAGACCAATCTCTCTCTCTCTCTCTCTCTCTCTCTCTCTCGCTCTCGCTCTCGCTCTTGCTCTCGCTCTCGCTCTCTTGCTCTCTTTTCTTATGCTGGGGTTTAAACCCATGGCCTTCACATTGAGCTATATCCTCAGCTCTTAATTTTTTTTCCTTTTTATTTTGAGACAGGGTCTAACTAATTCGCTAAATTGCTCAGATTGAGTTTGAACTTGTGATCCTTCTGCTTCAGTCTCTCAGTAGTGCTAGGATTACAGGCATGCACCACAACTGCCTTCCATCTCATCTTTACCACAATCTAAGGTAATTTTGATACACTACCAGGTTGAGGGAACCAATTTACTAGTGTCAATATGTCAGTTGCAGCAGGGAAGGACCCTAGCTGGTTCCTGTCTAAGTCTCATTCTCCCTTTTCTTGTCACCCTTGTCTTCTAGGTCATATACAGTGGTTTGCAAATGCTTGCCCCAAGTTAAGGACTTGTAGTTCAGTACAGAGTCAGCAACACTCACAGTCCCATGGGGCTTGCCTTTGCACAGGCCTAGGGGCCCAAAATGGCCTGAAAAACAGGGTGCTAGGGTTCTACTCTGGAGTTGCCCTCTTCTGGTTCACTGGTGGCTATCTGCCAGTGGTAAACAGGCTTCAGTTTGCACATGGTCAACAGTCAAGGAAACCACAGTTTTTGACTTGAACTCTGCTTTCTTAGGATTGTGTCCCCTGGCACTTGACAAGAGTAAGTGTCTGGGGTTGGGTAGCAGGACCAGAGGATACGGAAGACTCTTGATAACTGTGCTCTCCTATTGACATCTCATTTTTAGCAATGATAGAAGACAAAATCTAGGTCTTCCTTGGTGCAGAACATCCTCTATTCGATGCCCTAGCTTTATTCCAGTGGCATTTCATGTCCTTTACTTTCTGGCCTTCTTGCTACCCTTTAAATGCTCCAGATTTGTTTCTGCCTTAGCCTTTGCATTCCTCGCATGGCTTGCAATGCTTTGGCCACAGATGATCATGTTGTGTTTACTTTTCATTTAGGTCTCAGTTTCCACATCACCTGCTACATCATCAAATCTAAAGTATCATTTGAGGCAGTGAGAGGCATCATCCCATAGCACATCATTTTAATTTTCAACTTAGCACTTACCACCATAGGGTATATTTTCCTTATTTATGTATCTGATGTGTTACCTGTTACAAATCAGGGAAAGTACAATTTATTTTAATTGTTATTTAATGTCTTTTGTTTGTTTTAAAACAGAATCTTGCTCTGTAGTTTAGGCTAGGATTGAACTCACTATGTAGTCGGGGCTGGCCTTGAACTTGTGGTAATCCTCCTGCCTTAGTCTCCCAAGTGTTAGCATGTGCCACTGTACCCAGCCCCGCCTGTTTTGTATTGTGTTATGTCCCCATTGCCTGAGAAGTGCTCAGGAATTCTGGAATAAAGGAGACTGCCCCAGCAGGAGTAGTGATTTATTTTGGTCATAGAATAGCTAAGGGCTGAGAAGAGAAGTGACTATCCCAAATATAATTCAAGTCTTTTATCTTTTTTTTTTTTTTTTTTTCCCTCCAAGCCCTTCCTGTAATCTTTTGTGACTGGCTCTTTTTTTTTTTTTTTTTTTTTTTTTTTTTTGCTTTGTTGTTTTTTTTCTGGCCTTGAACTCATTTGTAGCCCAGGCATTCCTGAAATTTGTCACTAACTTCCT